AAAAAAATAAATAAATCAAAAAAGAAAACAAAACCGGAGTTCATACTCGTTGCGGTGATCCTCCCCAGGCGGCGTGGAGGGCGGGGCGAGGGGTTAAGGGGGCACGCAGGAACGTCGATACCCCCCCTTCCTCCCCTTCCCCCCTCCCTTTTCGCTACCCCACTGTGACACTTCCGCGGCAAACAGGAAAAGGCAAAAGATAGATAGAGAGAGGGAAAAACAATCATAATCGTAGGGATCGAGTGAATAGAGGGGAAATTCGGGCGCCACTGTCAGCGACGGTCCACACGGACGCAGACGCAACAGCCGGGAAAAGTAGCGCCGGTGTTTGTTTCATACGACTTGCCTTCTCGCTGCGGTTGACGACGCGCGTTGGCGCGGCTGCGTGTGCGTGTCTTCCGCGGCGTGCGTTCGTACATCCGTGACGCCGGCGGGGGATGAAGCGGGGCGGGGCGGACCCCTCCGCGATGGCGTCGTCGCCGCCGCCGCCGCCCGCAACGGCGTTCAAAAAAGGCGAGAAACGTGACTTTAGGTACCCGAGCGAAAAATGCGCCGCGCGGCAGCTGCGCCTTGCCTTCCCCGACGAGGACGCGGAGACGGTGGAGGAGCTCGCCCACCTCGTCTCGGCGCGGCGGCACACCATCGAGGAGGCCGTGGACTTCCTGCAGGACCAGGAGCGCTCCAGGAAGGCGGCCGCCAGCAACAGCCCCAACGCCGTCGCCCGCGCGAGGAGCGGCGCCAACGCGCGGGGTCTTGCGGGGGCCGCACGAGACGGAGGACGCGAGGAGGACGCGCGCGGCGGCGGTGGGAGGCGGGGGACGTCCGCTGGGCGCAGCAACGCCCCGCCGGCGAGCGCGCTCCGCCCGCACTGGGATGGATCCGCCTCAAGGCCGCCGTCTATTCTCGTCTCCCACCCCACGAAGCCGGCGCCGGCGCGGGCAAACGCGCCCGTTCATCACTTCGGCGGCGGCACCACTACCCAGCAGTCAAGCACAGGCCACGGCGACCTCAGTGCGAGGGCGAATGCGCTTGTGGAGGACGGGGAGCGGCGTTGCCACCCCGCCACTCCCTCCCCGATTTTGTCCCCCGCCCCGTCGCCGCACTCGGGCACTGCGTCTCCTCCTTCGTCTTCTGCTTCTGCTGCGGGGGAGGCCGCGACGGCGGTGCTCTTCACGACCACCATGACGGGCGACCGCAGGGTCCGTGACCACTGCCGTCAGATAGGGACCCTCTTGTACCTGAAACGCGTGCAGTACGACTCGGTGAATCTGGCGGACGACCCTGTACTGCAGCGCCGTCTGCGTGAGATGTACGCGGCATCCACAGGCCAGCACGTGCGGCCGCCCATTCCGGCATTTTTTGTTGGCGAGCACTTCATTGGCGGCTACGAGGCGCTGCAGGAGATGGAGGACGACGGGGTGCTGATGGAGACGCTGTACCGCCGCGGTTACCCGCGGCCCCTGAGTGAGGCCCCGAGGGCGCAGGAGTAAAGGAAGCCGACAAGGCCGTTCGCGGCGGCGGCGCAGAAGACAGCACACCTGAAATTGCTCTACCAGTTCATTAGACAAGACTCCGGG